AAATAATAGGTTTCCGTGTAACCGTGACAAACTTACATCATTGGAGCTTGATTTTCATTCTTTTTAGGCTTAATATATCGATATAGCAAATATTTTCTAAAATTCTAAAGCTAATATTTCTTGAAAATTGTAACAAATGTAATTATGAGTCATCGTCATATATTATTTAGACTTATATAGAATTTTACTTTTTAGTTTTTAAGCAGTAACTCGGGAATGAGACCCTCTAACGCTATCAAAAAAAAGTTAATATGAAGGATACACAGATCCTTTAAGAATTTGTACACGATCTACATGCTTTATCTGGTAACTTCGATAGCATCATACAAGTCATCCGATACATCGCTATTTTTAGTCAAGTGCTGTGATTTACTCATAGCATTTCTCAATGGACCAGCAGAAGAATAACAAAATCTACAGTTTATTAGTTGTCTTTAAAATTATTAATATAGTAAAGTCCATACTCATACCATTTGAGCTGTAACAAACTGGTTATGTGAGAACCTGCTCGGTTATGATACAATAGAATAAACTTTATTGGTACGTATTTGCGCCTGTGATACAACCCAAAAAAGTAGATGCTCATCATTTTTATTAGTTTTTACTAATAAAACGTTAGGCTTAGGAGTTAGTATTAGGATTTAGATAATAAAAAAATATATAAAATTTATCAAGGAATTTTTTTAATTAGAATGTAAAAGATACAGTAGTTTGAGTGATTTTTCGATTTATCGATTTTATGTCACACAAACTCCACACCTGTTCTTACGATCTCAAATACCAATAGAATTGTTTGATCATATGTAACGTAAATCATTAAAAAAAACAAAACAAATATTAGAAAGTTTTCACATTAATCTTCCCGCGTCTATAATAACAATATATAAGACACCTATGAACTTGTTACCCCCATATAAGAATATAAAACATTAAGGAAAAACACAAAAACCTTAATAACTTTTGATATTTTTTTTTTTTTTTTTGAAGTTAGCTTTCTTAAATAAGTTTGCGGTGCTAGATTTTATAAATGTGCCGTGAATGAAGTTATATATGAGGCGTTATATGTCTATTATATGTTTTTAGACCCTCTCCTCCTCTCTGAGATTCTAATTTTCTTAATCCATCACTAGAAAAGGTTGAAGAACTAGGAGAACACGATGATAACACGATATACTCTTTTTTTTTAATATTTAAGCCAAAAAAAGATCGCTAAAAGAAATTGTTATATTTTTAACTGCGAAATTAAACCTACAGTCCTAGGTAGTTGTTATAGGCTAAATCATTTTTCAAAAACTTTTCAGTTTAGCTCGTAATATTAGTCAAGTTCTAGGTATTAATTTCAAAATATATACATACAACCTACGCTCACATTACGAAAAATACTGATAAATTCCATAAGATAATGGAAAAGACATAATAATTCGCTGTAAATATCGCGAAAAAAATTCTTTGGGTGTTCTGATGTCAGACAGTTTTCAGGATCTAAAAACTATAAAAATCATAAAAAATTTATAGTAACCAATCTGGGTTACACAGAAGGTGCGGCCGAAGAAGCACATAAATATAAAATTATTTTATATATTGACAAGAACATCGTAAGAAAAATCTAGCGAAATTTTCTCAATCAAAAATTAATAAAAAATTGAGAAACTATATCCTAGTATCACAGGGTAAAAGTAGCATTTCCGAGAAACATGATGAAACTGCGCCTCCAGAAACAGGATTAGGCTTAGAAAGCTTAAAGATCGTTGATGGAACAATTGATAGATGCAAGTCCAAGAATATTCTGAGAGAAACGATAATTAATTGAAAAGCTAGTCAAAGCCCTTCTAAATCGTACAATAGCAAAGCCCCCATATATAACAATTAAAATTATAAAATGGACATTACAACAAGAAAGGTTGGTAACGACTCTTATGTGTAAGGTAGGGCACATAAGGTTGATCATAATTATTGAACTTCCTTCCAAATCACCAACGTTACGCCTCTGGTGAGGACTTACAAGACGAGATATAAATCCGCTCATAACACCAGTTTTTTTTTTTTTTTTTTTTAACTTGCATCCCCTGTTTTTTTTTTTCTTTATTTAACTCGCATCACCTGTTTTATTTAACTCGTATCCTCTATTTTTTTTTTTTTCTAACTCGCATCCCCAAAAGATTTTCAATTAATGATATAGTCTGCTATTAACACAAGTACAATAGAATAATAGCATCATCAAGTCATGTTTCTTGAATATACAATCTGTTTTTCACACACTGAAATCACTTATGTATTTATTTTAATTAACGGATTAGTTTGGTGAAATAATAAATATATCAAACATATTTTTTTAAATGCTACATCCACATGGCCAAATAAAATAAAGCTTGAAATGCGAGTAAAACCTTATTTTGTCTATATAAGTTTAAAATTCAAAAGGCTTTAATGGTCAGTGGTGAATATTCTTATTAATTAAATTTCAATATTATTATTTAAAATAAATAGAGAATCTGATACAAGTTATTCTTAAACTCTTCTTATATTGTTCATATATTTAGAAGACAAAATATTCGATATACGTAAATAAATATCTATTTTTATATTAATAAATCTAGATACTTGAAATGCTTTAAAAAGCTTGAGAGATTACTGGATTAGTATTAGTTTTCCTATTTGATGAAATCTGTAAAACAACTCTTATACTTATTTCCGATTATAGTTAGTCCCCCTTATATTACGGAATTATTTCTCATCGAATAACGTCCAGAAACTTTTTCTTGTTATATAAGATCTTACAATAAGAATATGCACAAATAAGACTCAAAAAGCTTATAAGGGGAAAAGAATATAACGTTCCTTATCAGTAGTTTTATTAAAATTTATGTGATGAGGACTTGGAATCTCTGCTATCTCTGAGATCGTCAAGCTCGTTATCGTTAACTTTTTTTAACATTACAAGAGAGATCACCAAATTAAGGGTCTAATTTTATCAGAAAAATAACAAAATAGCTTCAGTATTTGGAACTTATGACTGAATAGACTTTATATGGTGGGATCTAAATCGAGTTACCCAAAAGCAGTTACTAATGTATTTTTATTATATTATACTCATTCTAAATTAATTGAACACTAATCTTTTTTAGTATCTGGTATAATGAATTTTGCAACATAACGAATGTTTGATCATATGTAAAACTTTAGATATGATTTAATAATTATGGATTTAATAACGTAAAAAAAGATAGCCAATTAGAACGAAAATGACAACTAACGCCATTTGGTAGTATAAGATTCATAATAGTAGCATTTTTTAAACGGAACCTCTATTTCCATTATATGGCCAGAATTAGAATTTTGTAATGTTATTTTTGTCCGTGAGTTTGTCAGAACGATCATTATTGTGAGATCAAATGACTTTATTGTTACCCACGGGTACAATTTGATTGGGTATATTATTTAAACTTGTTCGAGACGAGTTTTTTATCAAGAGATTTTTGATCCCATCTGATAGATCTTAAATAGTTAGATCTTGTAGTAAGGGTTATTAATGTGAATGTGATAAAGAAAAGGAGTAGGACCTTACGTCAGTATAAAGATTATTTAAAGAATTTTCCGGTATAAGCAGAAGTTATCTTTCTCTTCGCTATCGCTCGCCTTTAGGTTCCTTCCCACACACCTCTTTTTTCCAACGGCTGTAAGTAGTACAATGACCACTTCGCTAGATACATGTTTCACCTTGACCGATTCTCGCTATGGCTATGATTATTATCTTGTAAAATTATAAGCGTTTTAGTATAATTTATTTCTTTGTTTAGTTTAGTGAAATTGTATAACCAGAGCCATGTAATTGGATAGCGAATCTCTTCCCGTATGTCTTTTCACATATAATAAAAAGTCTCTGATCGTAGAGGTCGGAGTTAAACCAGTTTTAATATTAATTCGATTTCTGATATTTCAATTCGGTTGAAGATAAACCGGGTTAAATTCGGTTTTAGATTAATTTTGACAAATCAGAATTATCACTGATCAATTCAATTCCAATTTGGTTTTTGAATTTAACAACCGGTTCGAGCAATAATTAATATAATTTACTCAAATAATTATCATAGTAAAAATAGCAAATTACCAATTACTGTCGGCTAAAATTTATGAAGTACCCCTATTACATAATATTTCATATCTATATCTATACATACAATATAAACCTGGAGACGAAGTCGCATATGTGCAAGTTCTAGTTTATTTATAATATTGAGTTGTCGTGTATATTATATAAATTCAAAGTTTAGTTTAACGAGTACAGTATATGAAAAATTAATATTGTATCATTTACCCAAATGTGATTGACTAATTGTTGCGTGATTTTCAAAGTGGCCAATCATGAATTTATATTTAATTTATGTGATCAACCAATCACAAGAAAGTTATTCTATATCCTTTTAACTTGGAACACACAATTATTATGTGTTGCATATCGAGTTAATTATCTTTTAATATCATTTATAAAAACTATTTTTTTTTTAAAAAAAATGAAATAGCATACTGTGTGAGGATATATCATGTAAAGGTAATAAATTAAATATGGCTATTACCCCGGATAGAATAATATCAAGTCTTAATCAAGGAGGTTATTATTTTGAAGTACTGTAAACGTAACAGGTAACTACATATCGATATACTTTTTTATTTTCAAAATACAAAAAAAAGCCAATTTAAATATATAATACTTATATATCAATGTTCCTAAAAGCTGTTGCATAATATAAGATGCTTGAGTTTTAGATTTGATTTAGAATCGATATTTGTTATAAAATATTATTACTTTATAGCAATATAGGTAGCGATAATTAAATTAATTAGCTAAAATTAATGAACAAGTAAACGAATTATAAGGACATGCTCACCTATTCACAATAAGACTAAAATATTAACTCAAAATTCTAAAATTGAATATCATACTAAAATTTAATTTTGTTCCACTTTTATTTTTTCGTAACTTGATATAACAGAGGTCTCCTTTAACATGAAATATTAGTTTCGATAGGTATACTTTGATTCCAGTGAAATAAATTATAAGGATCATATTGCTGTTTAATTTCCACCAATTTTTTAAAATTCTCCCTATAATATCTACATTGCCAATGATCTAATTTTCTATCAATTAAATTTTGATAACTTTCATAACTAGTATAAGTTTTTTGAAAATATTTTGAAAAAATTTCTAAATCTTCTAAACACGTTTCAGAGATGGTCGTATTTGCTTTGATTAATATGCTATACATAAAACCTCTGTGAACAAATGCAGTTTCATTTCGCATAACTTCATTAACTCTTCCTCCACCAAATACCAGTGATTCGAAAGTCATTAAACATTTGTAACTTGCCACAAATTTCATTAAATATTTAACACCTTCATCAGATATTCCCATTAAATTAACAAAAAAGGACTTTGCTTTAAAAGAAGAACGAGTTTCTAATGAATCAGTATAATCAATTGTCATATTAAACCAATCTCCTTCAGTATATGTCACAATTTTAGGTTCCGTCAATTTAATAAATTCTTGTACATGATTTTGTAATTCATTTGTAGGTCCTAGAAAAACTCCACGAACATAAATTTTATATAAAGGCAAATGATTGATCACAAAACTTAAATTTTGATGAAGATTATCTGCTATTTTACTCATTACTGAATATACTAATGGAATTTGATTAAAATCGTATGTAAAAAGAACAGAGCTTACAATCTTCTGAATAGGATGTATCTTAAGTGTTAAAGAAGTAATAATACCATAGCCCGCATTCCCTGCACCTCTAATAGCCCAGAGTAGTTCAGGATATTCTTTGACACTATGAATTACTGTCCCATTTGCTAAAACAATTTCTGCATCAAGAATATTGTCTGATGACACTCCAAATTTTCGATTGAGAAGTCCTTGACCCTGTAGAAAAAAAAAAAAAACGTACATTTTTAATTATATGAAGTATAGTGGAAATACACATTAAAATTTTCAAATAAATACTTACGCCACCCATTATATGACCACCAACTCCAACACCAGGACATCCTCCAGCTGGAAACGCAAATACATACTTATTCACTGCGAAATAAAATGATTCTAAAGTATTCCCAGTTCCGATTACAGCAGTTTGCGTAGTTGTATTAATAGCAATATCTTTTAAGTTTACAAGATCAATAATTAAATAACAATCTCCATCTCCAATACTATAACTTTCATAAGAATGACCACCGGATCTTGCAACTACTGGAAAATTTAATTCTGATCCACACTTGATAGCATTTTGAACATCTAATACATCTATCGGATGAACAAATGCTACTGGAAAATAAATTACTCGTGCATTATATTCCATGGAAAGATCACCATTATAGGCAAATTCATTCCGAAAATTGATGGATCCTTTAATAGAAGATTTATTAAAACACTCTCGAAGAGAATCCTCTCTTGGACATTTATTATTATATGATGAAACTTGAATAGTTGCAATAAAAAAATATATAATATAGAAACATAAATTCATCATTTTTTTTTATTGATAAAGATTTCTGTTAGTGGTTTCAGCAAAAGTAAACGCTTTTAAAAGCTTTGCATTGTTTTGGTATAAGCAAAAAATAATAATTGCTGTGACTATAAATCTACTGTATTTACTGTTTAAGACGTTTTACATTACTTTAACCGGCTTATTAATTTTTTTTGTTATTAAAGCTAACTTTGAATCAAATCCATCTTAAATTTGCTAATATTTGTTTATGTTTATTATTTTGTATATTTGCTTGCGCAAATGGCTTATATATATTGGTGATTCAAACGAACACTTTTAAAAGCCAAAATCTCCAGCCCCCAAAGTCCACGGTTTTAACATTATGTGATTACTTAATTCCACATAATTGTCGTATTATTATCGTAAATTGCCGACTTTTATATTCTCTAATGATTATCTGGACCAAGGACCTGTGGAATCTGTGATATAATTTAGCAAATTATGTTTTCGTTATCAGCAAATTATTTGATTTACTGCTGATCAATAATTATGTACTGTACGGATTTATTACATTGATAAAACAAACTTGCGATTTTTTTTCAAAAAAAGTTGCACTAAAAATTTAAATTGATTTTTTTACATGCAAATAGTTAATAATTTGATTTATTTGTTTGTATCGTTAAGCTATAAAACTTTATTTGAACCGTTAAAGTATAAAATATTCAGCATTTTTAACGATTCTT